CATTTTCCGCTGTTCTTACCCGGTATGGTTCTTACCACCCGCGGACCAACCGCATCGGTACGGCCGGTCTTCACCCGCGGCCAGTTCTTACCAGCCGCGAAACCCGGCAAACCCGGTCTTCACCACCCATCAACACCCTTCGAGTTTTGAATTAGCTCTAAGTACGACGATCTCTGGTGGGGTCTGGAGACGGCAGCATAAGAGAGAGCTTCTAGCTTAAGTCCAGGTTCCAACGCTTTTGACCCTTCCCACAAAGCACAGCTTCAGGCTTTTGCGCTCAACCCCTTTCCCCACTTCTCATTCTTCTTCCACACAACCTGCCTTATTCTGCCATGGCTTTGAGAAGAGGAGAAGGGAGGGGAGGAAAGAAGTGGGAAGGATAGGAGTGGGGGGAGTAGAGTGGGGAAGGAAAGGCAGAGAGGTTTTGAGGGTTGAGGGGGGAGGAGGGAAATGGGGGGAGGAGTGGGGGGGAGGAGAGAAGTGGGGAGGGAAGTAGGGTTTAAGGTTGGCGATGTTTTTACTTCGCTGTTTTTTTATTCTACGGCCCTTTTCTGAAACGCGACGGCACCTTCGAGGGTTTTATGCTGTCGAGGACCTGGCTGAGATTTCTGCGCATTCTGCGGCTGCAATGCTCTGCGTTTTTTCTACTGTTCAACTATTATTGCATATTGCTACAACCTCAACTGCGGGAAAATTTGACCGGAGCTCACTCCTCACCACAGGTCTGAGACTGGTGCTTTCCAGCAGAGCCGCTCCATAGATGGGTCAAAAAACGGCACGAAACGCAGGAGGGTTTTTTATGCAGACGCCCCTTTACCTCATCAGCGGCACAGTGGGCCGTCTCACCTCATCGTTTCACTCTTCGGGTGGGACAGGCACGCTGAGCTGTATTACTGGGAGTGTGTGCGCGTGTCTGTCTGTGTCAAACAATACACAAAGTCCACGACCGCCATATGTCCCACCTGTATGGTGTGCTAGGGCCAACACAAGCGAGTTGAAAGTTTGCCAATGACAGTGTCAAAACGAACAGCATTTGGTGGACACTGCTTCCGCAGTGCGCCATAGCAGTTGTTGCTCAGATTTTTCATGTAGGTATAGTTCTATGTCTAGTCTCGCCAATGCCAAGAGCTTCCCAGTGTGTTGTATACAAAGTGTGACTTTTGCAGCTTTCAGGCCCGCGATCAAGAACGACTTTCGGTTTGCTTCGCTGTCGTCGTGGCACGGCATGAGTGCCTTGTCCAAACATGGCGTGTTCGTGAAAGCCTTTGTCTGAATACCTGATCCGGGTTCAATTAAAGTTTGCATACGGCCCTTCTTAGCACTTTCCTCCAGTGGAAAGTAGCCCAGGCCCTGGGCCGTTAACTGGAGTGTCAGGACTATACATTCCGATCCGGATACATATACCCCTGAAAAAGCAACTCTCATGACCCACCCAACACCGAGAAAGAGCAAATGAGACAAAGCTTCAGTCGTTCAGATTCAGGCACAGATGCATGGGCAGAAAAAGAGCTTGGTTCCACGGGCATGGCCTAAAGTGCTGTCTGTGGCCATGTTGCTCTGTCCCTGTCCTGGCGCCTAGATCTTGTTCTGGCAAAGGCCCGTTGCATGTCAGGGTGGGTTTTGTTTTCGAGACGACTTACTGCCACATAGTTTCAGTCGAGTCTCGTCATGGTTCTTAGGACTCGTTGTTGTCATCAAAGAAAGAAGTGCCTGACTGAAGCGAAAGAAACGTCATGAGGTGGTGCAGCTCCGAAGTTAGCCAGCTATAGGTCTGTTGTAAGGCAGTGCGCAACCCCGTGGGCGTATGGAGCGGGTGTTTGATGTTCCTCGGGCAGGTTAGCTACGTAGGACTGTATTGGCTTCAGTCATTTGAAACAACTCGTTTTCGGCCTGGCACTTTGCAGACTGTGGCGCCATGGGAGATGGTGCCGGCACCCCAGCGGCCACAGTGCCTCTTCATCGCTGCAAGCACTCTTGTCACCGGCGCGCGCTCCGAGCACGCCGATGCACCAGACGATCATCAGGAGGTTCGCCGAGAGTTGGCATGGCTTCTTTCGGAACAAATCGTCGGTCCAGCTCAGCGTGCATTGGCACCGAAGCCGAAAAACATGTTCACCACCATGAGGTTCGTGGGGACACTGCGCTGTGGCGGCTCATGGTGCGCCACGGCCTCAACCTTGCGCAGCCTTCGGCTTCGAAGTGCCGAGGAAATATTGCAGAAGATATATGAAAGTCAGAACCCGTCCAGTTGCGAAGATGCCCGCTACATGGTGTACCACGACGATCGCACAACGTCTGGGTTTGGCTGGAACGCCTTCATCCTCTTTGGCGCTTTCTTACATGCCTTTCTGGAGGAGCGTGTCCTCGTAGAAGCCGCTGCAGTCACAGATCGGGACCACACGAGATGGCACCAGCGATGGTGCAGCGACCCACCCCATTCTCTGAAGTGCTATTTTCAAAGCTGGAGCAGGTGTGAGCGTTCGGACCTGGTTGCAAAAGCCATCGGGCAAGATTTGTCCACTCTTCCAGATTGGCAGAATGACATCGACGCAGGCAAGCAAAACTCTTCGTGCACTTGCAACGAACGACAGGTTCTATGGCGAGCGTCACAGAGGAGTGACGAGGCTTTCTTCCCGAGCATTGTTTCGAAGGGAAGATTCTGGTGGTATGCTGCCATGGTTCGTACCCTCATGAATCCACTTCCGTGGATCCTGGATGCAGCCGATCACTTTGTGAACGTGCACGGACTAAGCCATCGTCCGTTTGTTATTGCAGCAGTTCGGCGCGGCAACAAGAGTGTTGAGGTGCCCCACATCGAGATGCGCGAGTTTACTTCGCAGCTGAAAATCTTCAAGGAGCACTATGGAATCGCGGATGTTTTGCTGCAAACTGAGGACCATGGAGAACTGCAGTTTCTGGAGCGATGGTGCGGATATCAGGGGCTGCGACTTCACTACACGCCCAATGAGCGCACTGGACAGGATCGATTCAGCACTCGTTTCTGGAAGTCTCAGGTGAACATGACCGAGGAAGGCCGCGTTGCTGCACTGAATCTGGTGATTGGCAGTAGGGCTGTCGCCATTCTGGGCTCCTTCCATTCTGCATGGATGAAGCTGCAACCGGCCTTCATGATGGCTTTTCAATGGAAGCCAGTCTTGGTGATTGGCCTTGCAAGCCAGGACTACCAGAATTATGGTTCCCTGGTGGATGAGGAGGCAGAGGCACAACAACTTTTGCGGCCTGGCGAAATATTTTCCCCCGTGCCATGGCTGCTGTAATGCGTGGACGCGTGGACAAGTCCGATCTGTGTTGCTGAGCTGCTGGACCGTCACGCCCTAGGCTGCAGTATGTGTGCGAGGATCGGTCACGGCATGAAGCGAAAGGTCACCGTTCTTGCCTTCCCTATTGGATTAGAAATATAAGCAGCGCATTTTTGTCCTGTAGACGTTGTGCAAGCTGGCGCAATTATGTTGTCATTCGCTGGCATTTTTGTAAGTTCATGTTAGTTTTTCTGCGCCGGCACCCGTTCCCCAGACTCGTTCCCCAGCTGTGGCTGTGTTTAATTTTTGCTTCTGTCGTTGCCCCGATCTGTGCCCTTGCGGCCTGTCGGCCGAATGACAACAACGTGACAACATAATTGCAAAAACATTGACACGACCAGGAGATCCGATCCACGCTTCACGGTATCGGGTGTTGAAAGTTCGAGCTTCATGGCGCTGGCGCCGATCTCTGCGGCCGCAGCTCCCGTAAGGAGGTCGGAATCTTGCAACACGACGAGGATGCAACAACATGCCGGGGGCTGTTCCCAAGTGACTCCTCTGAAACGTATAGGCCTCCTTAAGTAGATGAAGTATTTGAACATCCCGAAAAAAATAAGCCCCCCCTTTCCGAAACGATAGATAGAAGATTAGAAAACCCCAAAACGTATTGGTGAAGAGTTGTCAAGCCTGTTTCACGCTAGTAAACTGCAATTTCCTGATAGCATCAACAGCTGTCAAGTTTCAGGCCTTGGACCTTAGGATTTCTTTCGCTTCACCCCATGGGGCCCCCTGAGTTGTCCAACATGAACCATTCGAGACCCTGGCTTGAGGCGCACACCCCGGATGGTGGTAGTTGGTAGCCAGATCCACAGCCAAGTATTACTTTCACAAGAACGCATGACTTCGAACCATGCTTGCAAGGGCATGCATGTCTAAACAAGCAACTGAGTAAGTGACTGTAAAAGACCATAAAGTAGAAGGTGATCAAATATGAACAAGTACATCCAGTTGTAAATAGACAGTGAATAATAGCAAAAAATGTTTCATGTACCATAATACGTACTAACCAGAGGTTAATGGACCCAGAAGTTGCAGGAGTTTCAGATCATAATTTCCCTTTCGCTGCGCAGACCGGGGCGTGACCTAAAATCAGACTCGAAAGTGCAAAAATGCGAGAGACACATCGCCCGTTGCAAGATGGTAATTTAAGGTTTAGGGTTCAGGGTTTAGGGTTTGGGGGGTGGCGTACTTGCGATGTGGGCGTTCTGATACCGGCGCTGGTTGATCAAAAGCTTGTCGCGCGCACCATGTTGTGGTTGAGAGTCTCAACGGAGAAGCAGAAGCTGAGAAGTTTGAGGGACTAGGCTGCTGTGAGTTGAGTGGGTTTCGCCACACTGCCTGATACGATCCCTTGAGCTCCCTCAACACCTCCTCAGGCGTAGAATTCATGATTTGTGTCTCAAGTCTGGATGCAGACATGAACGACAGCTTGATTCACACTTCCCTTAGCGAAACCCTCAACCAGAAGCCAGGCAAAGCCCCTACACACCTTAAACGCGAAGAGCCCCAAACCCCTAAAACCCCAAACCCGAACTCTGAACCCGAACCCCCTCAACCACAAAACCCTAAACCCTAAAACCGTAAACCCTAAACCCAGACCCTAAACCCCAGACCCTAAACCCCAGACCCTAAACCCTAAAACCCGAATAGGAAACCAGAGGAGGTGCTGCCCCCTCCGCCATGGCGGTCAGTGGCAGCTCCGAGCCTGCGCAGTTGCACATTCGCCAAGTGGCGGCGTTGGGGTTCAGGGTTTAGGGGGTTTGGCAAGTTTGGGGTTGAAGGCTTTTGTCTTTTTGTTGGGGGGGTTTAGTGGTTTTTGGGGTGTCAGGTGTTTTCTGTGGTTGATTCTTGCCGCTGCCTTTGCGTACTTTAGGAACCCTGAGGCCTTGTCTTAAACTCCAACCCCTAAGCCCTAAACCGCAGGCTTGCGGGCCAAGGGCTGCTTCAGGTTTAGGGTTTAGGGTTTGTGGTTTAGGGTTAGGGTTTAGGGTTTAGGGTTTAGGGTTTAGGGTTTAGGGTTTAGGGTTTAGGGTTTAGTGTTTAGGGTTTTCGGCTTTTGGGGTTTAGCGTTGTTCTTTTTTGTTCGCTGTTGGGGCTGTTTTGAGCCCTAAACCCTAAGTCCTCGACCATGAAGCTCGAAGCCTTCAGACTCTAAACCCTAAACCTCTAACCCCTAAACCCTAAATCCTAGACCCTAAACCCTAAACCCTAAACCCTAAACCCTAAACCCTAAACCCTAAATCCTAAACCCTAAACCCGAAAGCTGTCGGACGCAGCTTGACATCTAGCTCGAGTGTTGCAGTTTTCTGCTTTTCCCCACTCTTAAAAGGTCATCTCAGGGCGTTTCATCCCTTCTCGAGTGTCCAGGGAACTAAGCAAGTAGGGTTTAGGGTTCAGGGTTCAGGGTTTAGGGTTTAGGGTTTAGGGTTCAGGGTTTAGGGTTCAGGGTTCAGGGTTCAGGGTTTAGGGTTTAGAGTTTAGGGTTTAGGGTTTAGGTTTCAGGGTTTAGGGGTTACCAGATTTTCCAGCTCAGGGCCCCTTCTAAACAAACATTGCCCCTACTTAGAGTCTACGAAGCCTTCAACCTCATCCCCAAGCCCTACGGCGCAAGCCCTGAAGTGTATGCCTCAAACTCCAAACCTTAAACTCTGAACCCCAAACCCTAAACCCTAAACCCTAAACCCTAAACCCTAAACCCTAAACCCTAAACCCTAAACCCTAAACCCTAAACCCTAAACCCTAAACCCTAAACCCTAAACCCTAAACCCTAAACCCTAAACCTTTTTTTTATTGAATTTAAACCCGAAACCCCAAACCCTAAACCCTACATCTTAAACTCTAAGCAGAAAGTATCCGGGATTTGGGCAGTCATCCCACATGGAGTCCCTCGACCTCCTGGCCCGCATCGAGCCGCGGCATCCCCTATTTGCCGTGGCGGCGCGGGGCTTACTTGGGTCTAGGGTTTAGGGTTTAGGGGTCTTGAGGCGTTGGGGTGTCAAGGCTTTGAGGTCTATAGTTCCCTTAGGAATTCTGTTCTGCTTCTCCTTTGGTGAAGGCCAAGGGCATGTTGAAGGGTTTTCTTCTTTATTTTCAGTTTTATGTTTTCGATGATGGTTGTGAGGGAAGTAGAGTTTAGGTTTGGGTTTCTTTCGGGCAACCCCGGCCCTAAACGCTTGCGGTTGAATGGAGTTTTCTTTGGATGTACGGCTGCGATTTTAGGGCTTAATGCCTTCAGGGATTCAGCATGTAGGGGCTTCAGGGATTAGGGATAAGGGAAACCCTTCAGCCTAGTCTCGTCAAGGGTTTTCGGAATTAGGATTTGGGGTGTGTTTTTTTGTTGGTTTCGCAACCTGGCGGTCTCTGAGTGTTGGGTTTAGGGGGCGGTTCAGGGTTTACAGTTGTCGAATTTAATTTTTTTAACACAGGACGGACCTTGGGTCTGGGGATAGGTCTTGGGGTTTTTGTGGACGGGAGCGGTGGGGGTCTAGGGTTGAATTCGGCGTTGGTGTGCGGTGGGCCCAGGGTGCGATGTATTCTCGCGAAGATGCCGCGCGATCTGGGACCTGCATAGGCTTCACTGGCAGACGTCCTAAACCCCAAACCCTAAACCCTAAACCCTAAGCCCCAAACCTGAAACCCGAAACCCCAAACCCTAAACCCTGAACCTTGAATCCTAAACCCGATTTCGACTTGCCAGTTCTTTTTTGCTTCATCTTTGGGGGCCTGTGAAAGGGTGAACGGATAGGGGCCGGTGGCGTGCAAGATGTGGATGGTCCAAGTTTGTACGTTTAGGGCTTGGACCCTAAGCCCTAAACCCTAAACCCGAAACCCGAAACCTAAACCCTAAACCCTAAATCCTCAACCCTCAACCCTCAACCCTCAACCCTCAACCCTCAACCCTCAACCCTCAACCCTCAAACCTAAAGCTTCCACTCCGAACCACGAAAGGCGGCGATGGCGCTTGTGGAGCCCTCCTCAGACAGCCCGGACTTCTTCTTGGGTTTGGGGTTTAGGGCTTGGGGCTTAGGGTTTAGGGGGTTTAAACGGGGGTCTTCGGAAGAATCCCTGAACCCGTAGACCCTAAACCGAAACCATAAACCCTACATTGGTTTGTAGGGAATGAGGGAATCCCTTAAAGGGTATATATATATATAGGGATATAGGGTACCTCATTCCCTCATTCCCTGCTTACCAACACTAAGTAACCAAAAGGAAGATAGTCTGTGGTTGCAGACCACCCCAAACCCTTTAAACCCTAAACCGAAAGCCATCATAAAACCTGGCAAGCATTGGCACACCAGACCTGAAGCTGGGGTTAAGGGTTTACGGAAGGACAATTTAGGGGTCAGGGGCGGGGTTCATTTTGGGGATGGTGTAGGTTTTAGGTTTAGGGGTTACGAGAGTTTGGAGTTAGGGGTGTTTCGGGCCTAGGGCTAAGCTTGTCACGGAGGTTTCGTGCTAATCTCGGTTGTTCTGCACTCCAAGCCCTAAACCCTAAACCCTAAACCCTAAACCCTAAGCCCTAAACCCTAAACCCTAAACCCTAAACCCCAAACCCCAAACCCCAGCCCTTAAAAGTCCGAAACTGCAAAAGCTTGGGGTCCTAGCCTCGCACGCTTTAAGAAGTTTCCCCCCACCCCCCCCACTTCCCGTACTTGGAGGTTCATGGTACTTCTTAGCCAATTACAACTTATAACTGTACTTATATCCCACTTATAAGCCCCTAAGTGCCCTGATATGGCTATAAGTACAGTTAGAAGTACCCTAAACCCTAAACCCTAAACCTCTCTTACCTATATATATTTAAACCCTATAGTCAGCAAATCGACCGGCCCTGTTGGTCACGCCCTAAGGGCAATCCTTCCAAATCGACCGGCCCTGTTGGGCACTCAAGGGTCTGGCCTTGTCCTGGCCCACGTGCGCGCGGCCTTGGCCTTGGCCTTGGCCCTTCCAAATCGACCGGCCCTGTTGGGCACTCAAGGGTCTGGCCTTGTCCCGGCCCGCTGGCCTTGGCCCTTCCAGATCGACCGGCCCTGTTGGGCACTCAAGGGTCTGGCCTTGTCCTGGCCCGCGCGCGCGCGCGGCCTTGGCCTTCGCCTTGGCCCTTCCAAATCGACCGGCCCTGTTGGTCACTGGCCCTGGGGCCAATCCTTAAATCGACCGGCCCTGTTGGGCACTCACGGGTCTGGCCTTGTCCTGGCCCGCGCGCGCGCGCGGCCTTGGCCTTGGCCTTGACCCTTCCAAATCGACCGGCCCTGTTGGGCACTCAAGGGTCTTGGCCTTGTCCTGGCCCGCGCGCGCGCGGCCTTGGCCTTGGCTTTTTTTCAAGGTTTTTCAAGGTTTTTCAGAATTTTTCAGTGTTTATGGTTTTTCAATGTTTTTCAGGGTGTTTCAGGGTTTGTAACCCTCAATTCTGACCAGGATCGGCCCGGGTCCCAGTTAAAAATGCGATTTTTTTAGTACTGAAATCAACGGCTCTGGGTGGTCTCTCGTTTTCTGGATTTTGACCAAAACCGAGCCTTCACCGGCTTCAGGATTTCAAGTTTTCAAGGTTCTTCAGGGTTTTTCAGAATTTTTCAATGTTTTTTAAGGTTTTTCAATGTTTTTCAGGATATTTCAGGGTTTGTAACCCTCAATTCTGATGAAGGGCCGCCCCCGCGACCTTTTCACAGCCTAGTTTTGGTCAAGGGGGGGTCGTGTTTTTCAATTTTAAAGGCAAAATAGTCTTCTGAGACCCCCCCCTTGCCTCAAACTCCGACCCTCCCTTGAAAGGGAAAGTTTGCCTCCAAAAACACCCCAAATGAGTGGGACCCCAGGATCGGCCCGGGTCCCAGTTAAAAATGCGATTTTTTAGTACTGAAACTGGATTTTTGACCAAAACCGAGCCTTCACCGGTTTCAGGATTTCAAGTCCCGCCCCTCTATGGGGGCCGATGAAATGGTTCGTGGGTAGGTCCATGACAGAGTGAGGTTGGAGGACAGGGCTTGCTGATGAGAAATGTAAACTTTATATTTTCTTAATGTTTTGGGATTCTCTGGGTGGGTGGGTTTTTTTTTTCCGTTGCCTACACACACTGCTGGCCTAGTAAATGCTCGAACTTGAGATGCTGAACCCTAAACCCTAAACCCTAAACCCTAAACCCTAAACCCTAAACCCTAAACCCTAAACCCTAAACCCTATAAGTACAGTCATAATTGGTTAATAAGTACCATGAACCTCCAAGTAAGGCGGCTCTGGGCGTTCTTGTGGCCTTCCTCATCCTGCAGGCAGCTTCCGTTGCTCTGGCTTTCGGGTTTTTGGGCTTTTGGGTTTGGGGCCTAGGGTTTGGGGTTTACGGTCTAGGGTTTGGGGTTTAGGGTTTGGGGTTTGGGTTTACGGCTTTTTGGGTTTCGTGTCGGTTCTGCTGCTGTCGCGAGTCCGAGCAGCCTTAGCATTGAGAGCCCAGGGCTTGTTGCCTCGTTTGCAGAGCCCACACCGATACCCTACAGCCTCGTACTTTTCACACCACGAAATCACATGAACAGTTCTTTGAATACGAGGGGCCGACTTACAAGACCACATGAACCCTTGGGAGCTCAGTGTGTAGGGCCTTTCGGGTTCAGGGCTTAGGGCTTAGGGTTTCGGGTTTAGGGTTTAGGGTCTGAGGGGCTTCGGGCGTTTCGGGCTGGTTTCCCCGACTCATCGCGCCTCGCCCCAAGACCTGAACCCACACCCAGCTTAACTTACTGGTGTTCTAGTCTCGTACGGGAGGAGAAAACCCAAAACCCTAAGCCTTGAACTCTAAACCCTAAACCCCAAATTAGGGGCACGGGCTGAGGGTTTAGGGTTTAGGGTTTAGGGTCTAGGGTTTAGGAGTAGAACCTGCCAAGCCCTTCAAGACTGGAAGGCGCGAGCCGGTGGCTCCTTCTTCAGCCGCAAGCCCCGTTGCAAGGCTGGACGCCTATTCTCGCGCAGGGGGGTTTGGGAGGTTTAGGGGTTTTGGGGTTTGGGGTTTAGGGTTTAGGGGTTTAGGGTTTAGGGGTTTAGGGGTTTAGGGTTTAGCGTCTAGGGGTTTGGGGGTTTAGGGTTTGGGGTTTGGGGTTAAGCCCAAGAATCCTGAACTCTAATTAAGTCTCAAACCCTAAACCCTAAACTCTCCTAACCCCAAACCCCAAACCCTAAACCCCAAACCCCAAACCCTAAACCCTATAAGGGAAGGGCTTCGGGGTGCACGGTTTCTGGTTTAGGGCCTTTGGATTTGGGACTCGATTCGGGTCCAGGGATTTGCAGCTCTCAAGGTTTCAAATTGAAGCTGTTGTGGGTGCGACTGAGAGGTTGGTGGTGCGACTCAAAAATCTGCCGGAATTGACGTTTAGTTTAGGGTTTAGGGTTTAGGGTTTTAGGCGCGGGTATCAAAGGGGTAAGGATTTGGGCTTTTGAGGGGGTGGAGGGCTTATTTTCTGCAGGTCTTGTGTGACTTTGGACTTGTACTAGTAGATCTCAAGGATGTCTCCGAATTGAGTCCCTACACCCGAAATGATGAAATCCTCACACCCTCAGCCCTGAACCCGAAACCCCAAACCCTGAACCTCAAACCCCAAACCTTTTGCCCTAAACCCTAAACCCTAAGCTCGAAACCCTAAAACCCTAAAACCCTAAAACCCTAAATCCCAAAAACCCTAAAACCCTAGACCCGAAACCCTACGCCCTAAACTAAACCCCAAGCCCTAAGCCCTAAGCCCTAAGCCCTAAACCCTAAACCCTAAACCCTAAACCCTAAACCCTAAACCCTAAACCCTAAACCCTAAACCCTAAACCCTAGACCCGATAATTTCTTCGCCCAGGTGCAGCGGCAGTGAGCCAACGTGCCTCTCAGCCGACGCAGGCAGACTTTTTCTTTGAGACCTCAGGCATAGGGTTCAGGGGTTTAGTGGAGGGGTTTAAGGTTTTGGAAGTTTCGGGTTTTGGGGTTTAGGATTTTTTTGGGGTTTGGGGTTTCGGGTTTACCGGTTGCTGGTTTAGGGTTCTAGGGTTCAGGAAGCCATGTAGAACGCGCCCTCCCGGGCAGCTGACGCTGTAAAGGGGCTCGCATTAGGGTTTAGGGTTTAGGGTTTAGGGTTCAGGGTTTAGGGTTTAGGGTTTAGGGTTTTTGGAGATTTTTGACCTGTGCTGGGTGCAGAGCAACTGGCTGCAAAAGATACTTCTGCATCAGATGAGGTGCTTTGGTCCATCGTTGCTTCTGGGTGCTTTGGGTGTGTGTATACGCGAGCAAGCTGTCGGTCAACAGGCCGGCTGGCCTTCAGCTTACCTGTTTCGGCTTTAAAAATTCGGCGCTCGGGGGTACTAAGGTGGGCTTACGAAGAAGGCTGTTTCCCTTCAGATTTTGGAAGGCGATGCAATGTGCGGCTGCTGCACAAGAGCCATGCCATCCGGAAATCCCCGGCCCAAATCTTGCTGTCGTCATGCAGGCTTCACGGCTGTGTGAGAGTTCCTCGGCCTCCACCGTGTCTTTTCGTCAGAAATCTAATCCTTTTCGTGATGGACATTGCGCTCAAGGAACATCACTTCGGCCAAGACATCTCGCCACGTAGAGTAGGAGGGCCAGGGCCACATGTTGGACGTCTCTAAACCCACTTGTTTCAGGCCGAGCTGGACTTCCAACCAAGGCCGAGCCCCCACATCGCGGTCTACCTCAAGCTCACAAATGAGCCTTAAGACGACGACCCGCCCAGAGCCGCAAGAGCGCGCAAACGACGTTGCAAGCATTCCGCGGGCACTTTGTGGGCATCGAAGGCTGCAAGGTGCCCCGCCTTTTTGTTGCAGGGTTTGGCAAGTGAAGCCATCGCTAGGAGAGGAACACCAATCAGGACCTAGGCGCCTGACACGTAGCATTCAGGTTTCTGTCACCTTGCCGAGGACTTTCGGCAAAGCCATGACAGCTGAGCGATGCCGAGCTTGTGCCACTCTGTATCGTGGATCGTACTAACCCATATTCCAGACCTTAGCTCATACTCCTGCGAGCTGTGTGTGGTCAGGCCCTGATGTCGGCCGCCCAGTCGTCCTCCGTGGAGCTCATCTTCTTCGATCTCAAGGACTGGCGGGCCCTGCGGGCACGGGCTGGGGTGCTGGATTACAGCTTGCGAGAAGGTGTGTCTTGATGGGTCGCAGTTGCATGAGTTGAGCTTGCCTGGAAGTAGCTGTAGCCTTGCATCATGGGTCCCGGGTACCTCCGAACAATGCAACCTCGTGACTGCCAAGTCCAGCCTGTTCAATGTCCGCTTTATGCTCTGTGCAGCCGGTCGCAGAAGTAAGCTTGTTGTCTCTTGCCCGTCGATCAGCCTCGTGTCCTTGCAAAGTGCTACTTTCTACAACACCATGTCAATCAACTTGACAGTGTAGCTTGTGTTATGTTTGCCATGACGTATCGGGTATGGTCGTATAGTGAAGCGTACGGACAGGGTCATCTCCTTTACACAGGGCCAGTAGCAGCCTCAAGGGCATCCCCTGCAGGTAGGCGCCCTGTAGCCCTGCACCGCGAAGTAGCGAAGTATGCCCCGGCCTGCACCTGCCGTCATGCGAAGAATTTCTCGGGGTCAGTCTCGAACAGTTGCATCCCACCAGGTGTAGGGTTTAGGGTTTAGGGTTTAGAGGTTAGGGTTTAGGGTTTAGGGTGAGGCTCGCCCTCGCAACACCCCATCGCACACGACTCTGAAAATTCGCCTTTGCCTCCGGATGCGTTTTTGTCGTGCCGGGATCGGGGCCCCCCAAAAGCCCAAGTGCCTTTCTGACCCTGAAGGCTAATGCAGGGGCCTGAAGAACTACCCATTGATCCATAGCTTCAATAGCTTCACTGCCAGTCTTCTTCAGTTCCCACGAGAGAATGGCCTCTACACCAAAAAACCCTCTTCTAACAAACCTACCTCCCATCTTGCACCCCAAAGCTTCCGTGTTCGCAAGTCTTGGCTCTCCTTCTTTTGCGGGCAGCAGAGAAACTTCTGCTTCGTGATGCCTTGCTTGGGTGGGCCAAGTGAGCGTCTCCGGATCTCCGTGCAGTATCCATTTTGAATCTCTTGGCTTCAGATAGAGAGCCTCTAAGCCCTAAACCCCAAAGCCCAGAATCCCTAAACCCTAAACCCTAAACCCTAAACCCTAAACCCTAAACCCTAAGCCCTAAACCCTAATCCCTAAACCCCAAACCCCAAACCCCAAACCCTAAACCCTAAACCCTAAACCCTAAACCCTAAACCCTAAACCCAACAGCAAGTCGGAGCCCCTAAGGTGCCAACACTGTCCTGGCCGAGTTTGCAAAGTCCTTGCGCCAAAAGCGGGACGAGGAGGGCCAGGAGGTGCGGGGGATGGACAGGGTTTAGGGTTTAGGGTTTAGGGTTTAGGGTTTAGGGTTTAGGGTTTAGGGTTTAGGGTTTAGGGTTTAGGGTTTAGGGTTTAGGGTTTAGTGTTTAGGGTTTAGGGTTTAGGGTTTAGGGTTTTTTGCTGTCCAAAGTGCCCGAAATCGTAGGGTTTTTCTCTAGGTAGGCCCTTGGGACATTTACATATTTTTCTGTTATTGGGTTCAAGGGTTTTAAGAGCCATTCTGGTTCTGAGAGTCCAGAATCTGACATGTAGCTCCCCACCGCAAAGGCCTTCCTGGGTTTAGCCCTTCAAGGAGCCCTATTGAAATTCTAATGGCCCCCATAGCAAAACCCTAGAAACAACTGCAAAAGTGGAAGAACATCACCAGGAAGAAGAGGTGTTTTACAGACCGGAAAAAGCGGCAAAGAGCCAGAGACAAACTCACCCTAACCACGAGCAAGGCATCGCAAGGTTTTAGAAAGTGGACAAGGGCTTCACGGTGGCTTCCGGATGCTCAAGCCTGTCACTCCCACGGATACGACCAAATTGAGAGACAAGAGACGAGTAGGCTAAACCCTAAGAGGCAGCAAAGATGAACGGCCAAGAAATTAAGAAGAACAGAGCAGTCGAACGAAGAAGCCGACGACAACGACTCGACGGGAAGGATTCTCGGCGCATTTTCCAGGGGGTCTTTCACTGTGAGTCGCAGGAGCATGCCGAGTTCTTCCCCATGTACACGGTGCGCCTGGAAGCGCTTCTCGAGATGGCAGAGATTCTGCCGCATGAGGCGAGGTTTAGGGTTTCGGGTTTAGGGTTTAGGGTTTAGGGTTTAGGAGTTAGGAGTTAGGAGTTTAGGGTTTAGGGTTTAGGGTTTAGGGTTTAGAGTTTAGGGTTTAGGGTTTAGGGTTTAGGGTTTAGGGCTATCCCACCTGAGGTGCTTTTGGCCGACGGGGTTCTTACGCTCTTTGACCGGTCCAAAGGCCAGGCCATGTTCGTTTCTCACCAGTGGATCCTCGGCAGAAATCCTTTGATGCGCGAACAAATTTCCCGGAGTAGTATGGGAGGGAGCCTATAATTACTACCAACACCATTTTGGCGGGGGGCTCCTTTTCATATTTTTGTATTATAGTCTTAGACAACGTACATCCCAAAGCCCTATTCGAAGCCTACGAGGATCGGAGTGGGACACCCTGACCCCACCCTCCAGCAGCTGCGAGTTCTCCAAGATGCCCTCTCGAACAGCCTGAAACCTTAGGGCTACTTGAGAACAGTTTTTTTTTCTCTTCATTTTTGGGTACTCTACGTCATAAGAAGCAACAAAAATCATAATAACAATAATAATAATAATAGTAATAATAATAATAATACTCATAGTTTTTTGCCAGGGTTCCACGTGCAGTACAGGAACGGCCTTTGCGATGCTTCCGTGGACGTGATCACGGAGGTTCTCTTTGGCTTGCGCAGCTGGCCGTTAGCCGAGGCTCTGAGGTCCAAGCCGGTCTTCGTCTGGTACGACTACTTCAGCTGCCCGCAGCAGCGAAAAAAAGCACCCGACCCAGAAGGGAGCCTCCAGCATGCGATCGACAGCATCCCGGCCTACGTGTCCAAGTGCAGCTTGTTTGTGGCCTTGTGCCCTGCGGTGGAAAGCTCTGATCAGTCCCGGATCTACAATCGTTCTACATGGTTGGACCCCTCGGCTTCTGCCCAAGTATACCGTTTTTTGTACAACGAATGCGGAGGGACCCTAAACCCCAAACCCTGCAAACCCTAGACCTAGTTCTCAAGAGGCCAAGTCTCGCTATTGCTCAGGGTTGAGGGTTTAGGGTTTGGGGTCTAGGGTTTAGGTGTTCCTTTCTCAAACTATGGACTTGCTGTAGTCGAGAGGTGTGGGCAGGTGTCGCGGCCCCGTGTGATATAGTATGTCGTCCAGGGTTCCTTGTTGTAGTGTGGACACGAAAACCGTATACTAGTTGTTAAGACCCTTAAATGAACCCAGGATCAACAATAAGAACTACAGTCTCGGACAAGATAATTGACTGACTTGTTGGCAAGAGTTGGTGCTGGAATGGCTTTTGGGAAGAACGTCGGAGAATGGCCTTTGGGAAGAATGTCGGAGATGTACTTTTTGCAGCTTCAAGCCTAAGCTCTCCTCTTTCTCGGCTCCAAAGAGCAGAAATGCCGCGTTTTTCAAGTTTCAAATTCGTTTCCGTAGTTTCAAATTAGTTTCAAAATAGTTTCAAAATCCAGTTGCAAAATCGCTGTTAAGGGGAAACTGCATTTTTCTACACGCGATTCAAAAAATGAAGGAATCGCAGAGGTTCCTGGTTTTCAAAAAGCGCGGACAGAAATTGCAGTTCCCCCTTAACAGCGATTTTGCAACTGGATTTTGAAACTAATTTGAAACTGATTGGAAACCAATTTGAAACTATGGAAACGGTTTGAAACTTGAAAAATACCACATTCCGGACTTTCTGCCCCATCCTGGCCCCTCACATACGGCCCTCCGTTGACTTTGGTCAGCCGTGACTAGAGACCACAGTTTCCGAAAACTTGCCAGTCTCCAGACTGTTGATGGACGAAATCCTGCATCACTTTTATCATGCAGGTCATCCCTTCCAAACCCTGAATCTTAACATTGCTGTCCTTGCAATGCTTCGAAAGTGCATGTGTGTGAATGACCGAAATCCTGCATCACCCAGATGCGCGCGCAATATTGAAATTCGAGGGGTGTGGGGAGCCCGATTACCAACCGTCGCACACGTGTAACGTAGGGGGTCATGCAAGATTTTGTCCATCCACAGTAGTCTCCTCGCAATACGAATGCTAGCAAGACCATATTATCTCACATAGTATAGCCACTTACTGTTGGTTAGTAGGAAATGAGGGAATGAGGTACCTTGTATAATCACTTAACAGGGTACATCTAGGGGGATACAGGGTACCTCATTCCTGCATTCCCTAACCAACAATAAGACCAAGGATCGCTAAACCCTAAACCCTAAACCCTAAACCCTAAACCCTAAACCCTAAACCCTAAACCCTAAACCCTAAACCCCAAACCCCAAACCCCAAACCCTAAACCCTAAACCCTAAACCCTAAACCCTAAACCCTAAACCCTAAACCCTAAACCCTTCACCCTAAACCCTAAACCCTAAACCCTAAACCCTAAACCCTAAACCCTAAACCCTAAACCCTAAACCCTACAACCAAGGATCGTGGGTGGTGCAGGTTGGAGTGGACCATGTGGAATCTCAGCTCAGTTAGCGAGCCCGTGATCTTCGTGACGGGAGCACGGCACTTGGAGGTGGCTGAGCTCTTGTTTAGGGTTCAGGGTTTAGGGTTTAGGGTTTAGGGTTTCGGGTTCAGGGTTCAGGGTTCAGGGTTCAGGGTTTAGGGTTCAGGGTTTAGGGTTTAGGGTTTAGGGTTTAGGGTTTAGGGGTTCAGGGTTCAGGGTTCAGGGTTCAGGGTTTAGGGTTTAGGGTTTTAGGGCTGAGCTCTTGTTAAGGAGCTGAGGTTAAGCTACCGTGATAGGGATCTGTAGGAAATAGCAGGGCTTCCTTAAGAAACCATAACCCTAAACCCTAAACCCTAAACCCTAAGCCCTAAACCCTAAACCCTAAACCCTAAACCCTAAACCCTAAACCCTAAACCCTAAACCTTAAGGTGAGCAAGATCTCGCAGCTGCATTCCGTGGGGGAAGCTGCCTTCAGCCTGGAGGAAGACCGCCGGAAAGTGTCGAAGGTCCTCCAAGTTGAGTTCAAGAAGAGCCTTAGAGGCGTACTTGGAAAAATATGTTCCTTTTTTGCGGGTACTATAAAATTCCTAAACTTGGAAATATGTTCCTTTTTTCGGTACTATAATTGTTAAACTTGGAAATATGTTCCTTTTTGCGGGTACTATTAATTCCTAAGCAAACAGCAAACGTTGTAAAATTTCTGCTGGGGGTTCCAAGTTCAGTATAGGAGCCTGGTAAAGTGCCTTGAGAGGGGGGAGCTGGCAAAGTATCGCTTCCTCCTCGGTTGGCAGCACTTGGGCTCTGGAGTGTTCATACTTTTTTGCTGTGTTTTTTCAATGTTATATTTCTTCCTTAAACGAACCATGACGTCCTAAAACCCTAATGCCTAAACCAACCCTAAACCCTAAACCCTAAACCCTAAACCAGGACCCTAGACCCTAAACCCTAGACCCTATAAAGAACACATTCGTACTTCCCGGCTGCCCAGGAAACTGTGCCTCAGAGGGCTTCCGTCAATGGCCATGGAGTCAACACAGGTGTGAGCTTCCGAAGAAAAGGGTTTCGGTCTAGGAGTAGCCAAGACCCAAAACCCCAAGACCCTACCTAAACCCCTAAAACCCAAGCCCTGAACCCCTACACCCCAAACCAGTGGGTAAGCTTCCATTATCGTACCCCCATTATAGCAACCTTATAGCACAATGTAGGGGTTGGAAGAATTGGAAATATCATCCCCCGAAAGTGCCAGGAACCTTATTCTAACCACAAAGGACCCGCAAGGTAGAACCGGAGAAGTAGGATTCTGAATAGAAGGGCTCCCCCTAAGTAAGCTAACGAAACTGCCAGGTTACCATCCCAGACTATGTTGCTCCAAGCGATGGCAGTGCGAAGACGATTCTGCTCACGAAATTCCTGCATCAAAACGGCTTCCGGCAGCCCTTGGAGAGACGTTTGGGGTGGTCCCCCCTGTGCTATGCAGCAATGCATGGGGACCCAGTGCTTGTGCAAGCACTGCTGGAGCAACGTGCAAGCCCGAACGACCGGATCCACTGCAGCAACCTGGAAATCCACTTGGCGAACAAGGCTGCGAACCCCAAACCCCAAACCCTAAACCCCAAACCCGAAACCCGAAACAATAAACCCTAAACCCTAAACCCTAAACCCTGAACCCTAAACCCTAAACCCTATACCCTAAACCTAAACCCTAAACCCCAAACCCTGAAGGCGTCGGTGCTCGAACTTGCTGCTCGATGTCGCAACAATGAGGTCTTGAAGCTGCTTCTTTCAGAACGTGCCGAGGTGGATGGACGCGATTCCATAGGAGTCACCCCCTCAAGTCTGAACCCGAAACCCTAAACCCTAAACCCTAAACCCTAAACCCTAAACCCTAAACCCTAAACCCTAAACCCTAAACCCTAAACCCTAAACCCTAAACCCTAAACCCTAAACCCTAAACTCGCAGGAGTCACGCCGCTTCTCGCGGCCGCGTATTCAAAGGATGCCATTGCAGTACGATTACTTTGCCAAGCGAGAGCCGACATGAACCTGGGTGTTTTTCGTAGAAAGGAACCACGCCATTTTCTTGTAGCTTACACTAGGTTCTCTACCTGAACCCAAAACCCAAAACCCAAAACCCCAAACCCGAAACCCTGAACCCTAAACCCTAAACCCTAAACCCTGAACCCTAAACCCTAAACCCTCAACCCAGGAATGTCCAGAACCACTTTACCGACACTGCCTGGCACACGGCCTGCGAGGCCGGCTCCCTGCCGGTTCTTATGGAAGCCATGGAAGAAGTTTGAGCATTAGGGTTTAGGGTTTAGAGTTTAGGGTTTAGGGTTTAGGGTTTAGGGAAATGCCCCAAGAGATTTGGCAATCACAACTCTTCGAGGCAAGTTGGCAGAGTTTGAAGCTTTATCTCGTGACGTGTGTCCGACCCCCTATATAAACCCCAAACCCCAAACCCCAAACCCCAAACCCTAAACCCTAAACCCTAAACCCTAAGCCCTAAACCCTAAACCCTAAACCCTAAACCCTAAACCCTAAACCCTAAACCCTAATCCCTAAACCCTAAACCCTAAACCCTAAACCCTAAACCCTAAACCCTAAACCAGCAAAGGAGCTGCGTGCCCAGTCGAATGGCCGGACCCTGAATCTCCATCGGTGCCTTCACACGTTGTCTCTCGGACCTGGCACGGCGGAGGCTGTTCACTGGCTGGTTGCAGCCTAGCTGCACTCTCAAGAAGGGATTCTGTTCTTTTTCTGAGAGACCCCAAACCCCAAACCCCAAACCCCAAACCCCAAACCCCAAACCCCAAACCCCAAACCCCAAACCCTAAACCCCAAACCTTAAACGTCCAGGATGCCCGAGCCGACGTGAACGAGCGCATGAAGCCCGGAAACTTCTTCATCTCCTTTGTCTTCGCTGCCAAGAGCCTGGAGTACAGATTCAGGGACTCCAGGTCGCAGTTCTGCTCAATTGCATACCATCACCGCGGCGCCACGCCGCTGATGTTTGCCACTAGGTCTCCCAGTGGGGGTTTAGGGTTTAGGGTTTAGGGTTTAGGGTTTAGGGTTTAGGGTTGGTTTAGGGCCTTTTTCCTTTCTTGTAGTCTTAGGTTTCCTTACAAAACTACCCTCTGCCATTCAGGGAGCCCTTTCCATTCCTAGGTTTCTGGGCATCCTACATTGAAATCAGGATTCTAGAAGCTTAGTACAAGAGGGATACTAGAAGCGATACTTAGGGAGGGGGTATATACATAATTATGATGATGATGATGATTATTATTATCATGATTATTATGATTATTATGATGATTATTATTATCATGATTATTATGATTATTATGATGATTATGATTATTATGATTATTATGATTATTATGATTATTATGATTATTATGATTATTATGATTGTTATGATTATTATGATTGTTATGATTATTATGATTATGATTATGATTATTATTCTTAATGTTATCATTGTTACTATTCGCATTACTACTGTCATGATTCGTACTATTCTCATTATTATGGCTAATACTCTCAACAGTCTTAGTATTGTTCATGTTATGAACTGTATTATTATGATTATTCGTATTATTATTAGTACTTTTATCATGATTATTGTTAATACTCCCAATATTCCTAGCATTGTTCATGTTATGAACTGTGTGTTTTTTCAGGCCATCCTGGCTGGCAACTTCGAGGTCGCAGCTGCGCTGTCGGTTCGCGGGGCCGACTCGCGCATCAAGAACTCCAGGGGGAAGGCGGCCGAGGATCTTGCAGCCGAAGCTGGGCTCGTGTTGGGTTTAGGGTTTAGGGTTTAGGGTTTAGGGTTTAGGGTTTAGGGTTTAGGGTTTAGGGTTTAGGAGCCTACCATCATCAGGAAGCCGTGTTTTTTTTCTATAGATCCCTGGTATGGTAACTTCAAGTAAGGTCCTCTGCAAGAACCCCAAGCCCTTTTTCGTAACCCTGAATGTTGAGTTCCGAAAATAGAAGCCAAGGAAGTATCCGCCCCAAGTTACCTCGTGGAGCTACTCGAGCGCTTTGATGTTTGCCGCTTTACCTCGGAGAGTCGCATCATCGGCGCAAAGCGGACATCCGTTGAGTCCTTAAGATCAGAGGACTACTTCGAGATTTGAGTGGTTTAGGGCTTTTAGGATCTAGGGTTTTGTACAGATTTTCGCTCGTCTGAGAGGTCAACTTGCGGCCTTGAGGGACGTGCCAGGCGTGGCAGCTGCGGAGCCCTCAAGGGGTTCGTGAAAGTCATATTATGGCATGTCGGGACTCTCTGCAAAAGAAGAGCCGAAGGACTTCAGTCTCTGCAGCCCCCGACGTGCCGAAGCATCTTTGCGTGACCTTTGCCTTAAATACATCTCCGAAAAAAAGCGATGTCCATCCGTTGGGACCCCTGTTCGACTGTGTCAATCAACTTGACAGTGTAGGTTGTGTTGTGTTTTGACAACCTTGTTTTGTTTTACTTCTGCCTGTCTTCACATCATTGAGAGCGTGGTCGTGTCAAGTGCGTGGCGCGTAAGCAGGCGATTTTTTGAGCTTTCGGGGTGGCTTAGGCTTCTCAAGCTTCCAAAGCCACATCTCTTGCATCCCTTGAAGGAGGAGGCGCTGGCAACACTCTTCGCGGGAAAGCGTGAATTTTGTCGACCTCAGCCCGTGCACCATGCCACTTCGCCGGACGGTGAGGCTGGGAAGGAGACTGGGCATGAGGCGCTGTTGCAGGAGGCTTCCGTTGAGGTCTCGTGCCGCTGCTGGTGCCTCGTCCTGAAGCAGCCGCTGTGAGTTGCCCTTAGATTCCCTCTATATCCCTGCAGTCGATTTCAATCTATGGGAGGTGGTCGCGGGATGATGGGGAAAGAAGCAAATAGACCGCGACCAGCGAGCGAGAGAGCTTTGCTTTTCTGGCGTCAGGCCCTGGGCGAGGCACGTAAGCACAACTCCGCGCTGCAGCTGCTCGATTTGCAACACAACCAGATCGGCGACACGGGCGCCCAGGCCGCTTGGGTTCGTTCGTATCAGGGCTCCGAGGGACACAGCTCCACACTGCAAGAGCTCAATTTGCTAAGCAACCAGATCGGCGACGCCGGAGCCTAGGCTAATTACTTGGTTCGCGGCAGGGCTCCGGCACGTTGATCTGGGTCTTTCTGAAGCTCCCAACTGGAACGGTTTTCGGTCCAAGCCTCACTTGTTGAATCCAACTCTTCTTCCATGACTTTCAATTGTGTGCCCATGAGTAGATCTGAATATACCACTAGTATGTGAGAGCGTGGCTTAAAGCCCAAGCGAAGTAGGACAGGAAGTTATTTCGGGTTTCATTGCGATCGCAAGGAAATCCTCGTGACATCCGTGCCGGGGTTCCTGACGTGCCCTGCAGGGCAGAGAGAACTCTCAGAATGAAGCCATCCATCGGGCCCCCCCTCTACTGTGGGTCCTAGTAGGTGTCACCGGAGGAGATCGTGCCGCGAGCGCCCCTTTGCGCCAGGCACTTCGAGAAGCCTGCCGGGCCCTCGATTAGACCGAAGAGAGCTGTGGGTGCTGACAAGTTCATTGCTTGAGGTGTGTTGGAATTCTCTGTGACTTTTTTTGGGGCCTTTTTGGGGAATCTCAATCGCTCGCAATCGAAGCAAGTTACTTAGCGCGTGCAGAATCACGTGTCCCTTCGGCTGTGCTCGCCGTAGCATTGTTGTAGAAGGAGCTGGGCCTGTCTTCATGACAAACAGCCAGCTCAGGCGACGTGCAGGCCAAGCTCGCCATTCCAGTGCTGGCCCAGCTCATGCATTTGACATTATTATGGCCTCGGGCCTGTGAGTCTATAAGCTCCAAGATCTCTGGGCTCAGTGTGGCTGTGGGTCATCTGCTTTGCCAGCTGCGGGAGGTATCATGAGGGCAGCTCCCTTGGGGACGCCTACGCTTTCAGTGAGCGATCCCAGCGTCACCCGCTCTCAGAGTCTTGAGCCGTATGGTGAAGAATCCGAATTCAGCACACCGATCCATATATATATATATATAAAGCACAGATAATCCCTGAACTTTTCTTAGGCTTGGAGGTGGTGTTAGGGTGCGCTTCGCATGCGAGGCTCTGCAGAAGTACTGCTCGAAGCATTCGAAGGCAGTGAGTGAGTCAGAAAAAAAGAAGTTGTGCTTGCATGCCTTGTTCGTGGCGCTATGCCCTAGTGGCACCATGCAGTAGCGTAGGGTAAGTTTGGGGTTTGAAAAGCTCGCCACATGTATCCCGAACGAGTGTTGCTGAATTCCCGAAGGCCGACTGTTACTGCCAACTTGCACGTGCTAGCTTGGCTCATCTTCGTTGGGACCAAATTGCAACCCCCTAAACCCTAAACCCTAAACCCTAAACCCTAAACCCAGAACCCTAAACCCTAAACCCTACTGTAAGGCCTAAACCCACAGCCCCTCAGAAGGATGTTTCACAAGTGCGTTCCATGCCTGGGCCCGGACCCGTAGACTGGGGTGAGAAGCAAAACCCAAAGTTAGGGTTTAGGGTTTAGGGTTAAGGGCTTAGGTTTTAGGGTTAGGGTCTAGGGTTTAGGGTTTCAGGTTTCGGGTTTAGGGTTATGTTTAGGGTTGAGGGATTTAGCCTCGTTGCCGCGCAACGCAACTTGTTCCAGCCTCCACATCCTTGTAAAATCTGCCCACGTCGGTGTTCGTAGGCTTCATCACTTGGAGGTTCTCCTAAACCCTAAACCCTAAACCCTAAACCCTAAACCCTAAACCCTAAACCCTCAACCCTAGTACGGTTATAATTGGTTAAGAAGTACCATGAGCCTCCAAGTAGTGAACTGCATGGCTCTGACGCCAAGCTCTGTGGCCGCAGCGCCCGCAAGGAGGTCGGAAGCTTTTGTGGTCTCGCGGACGAGGATGAAGCAACGTTTAGGGGTTAGGGTTTAGGGTTTAGGTTTTAGGGTCTAGGGTCTAGGGTTTAGGGTTTATGGCTCCTCTTAGAAGTAAGCTTTGACGTAGTCAGGGTTCCTGAGTAAAAGGGTTCCCAATAAGGGCCTCAACTTAGGACGACTCGACGTGTTTCGTTCCCAAACTCTGCAAATCGCGCCTGATCTCACTAGCATTACAAAAGACAGTTCCAGACCAACAAGACACTGACACATCCACAGAACTTCTGGCGCAAACAGCCATGCAAATCCTAGAAATTCCATAAGTTGTTCGAGACATCACCAAAGAGATTCCCTTTTGAAAAAGCCAACCCTAAGCCCCCTAGCCCACGAAGCCCTAAGCCCTAAGCCCTAAGCCCTAAGCCCTAAACCCTAAACCCTAAACTCTAAGACCTTGAAGCCCTTGAAGCCCTTGAAGACCTAGAAGCCCTAGAAGCCCTAGAAGCCCTAGAAGCCCTAGAAGCCCTAGAAGCCCTAGAAGCCCTAGAAGCCCTAGAAGCCCTAGAAGCCCTAGAAGCCCTAGAAGCCCCAAGAGCTCCTGGCAGCCTTTCAGTTTGCCTGCGCCGGCCGCCCGCCCTTCTGGTGCTAAGGCCACCAAGGTGGGTGGAGTGAGGGGGGGGAGGGTCAGGTTTGGGTTTAGGGTTTCAGGGGGGGTGGAGGGTGTAGATACCTTGAACCCGTTACCCAATGCCCTCAACCCCCACCCCCAACCCAACCTTCAACCCGAAACCTTCTACCCAAAGTCCTCAACCCCAAACCCTCTACCCAAAGCCCACAACCCCGAACCCCCCCCAACCCACAAACTTCGAGAGTAACCCGAGCCCAAACCCCTAAACCCAAAACCCTAAACCCTGAACCCTAAACCCTGAACCCTAAACCCTAAACCCTAAACCCTAAACCCTAAACCCTACACCCTAAACCCTATACTCAGGCGCCAGCGTCTGCGGTTGGCCTTGCGGTGGCCCTGGCGCTTCGGTTGCCGTGGCGGCCCTCAGTTGCATCGTATCGGCCCTGGTTTAGGGTTTGGTTTTAGGGTAAGGGTTTAGGGTTTAGGGTTTAGGGTTTAGGGTTTAGGGTGTAGGGTTTAGGGTTTAGGGTTTAGGGTTCAGGGGTTAGGGTTTAGGGTTTCCCTGAACCCTTTGGAGGTTCATGGTGAATCAACCAATTATAACTGTACGTATAACCCACTTATAAGCCCCCAAGTGCCCTAATATTGTTTTAAGTACGGTTAGAAGTACGGTCATAATTGGCTAATAAGTGGTCAGAATTGGTTAATAAGTTCCATGAACCTCCAAGTCCAAACCCCAAACCCTAAACCTAAACCCTAAACCCTAAACCCTAAACCCTAAACCCTAAACCCTAAACCCTAAACCCTAAACCCTAAACCCTAAACCCTAAACCCTAAACCCTAAACCCTAAACCCTAAGCCCTAAACCCTAAACCCTAGAACCTCCAAGTAGGGGCCCGGAGATTGTCCAAAGCCTGTCTCGTGGGCTGGGTTGCTTCCGCCTCGACGGCAGCTCTGAATTCTGGGAGCGCCCCACGACTGTTCGTTTTTTCAGTTAGGCTCAGGGCTTAGGGCTTAGGGCTTAGGGTTTAGGGTTTAGGGTTTAGGGTTTAGGGTTTAGGGTTTAGGGTTTAGGGTTTAGGGGGGGCAGGGCAAGCAGTGTCTATGCACCCTTCTCACTTGAAGATCACCCTGGGCCCCATCTCCAACCGTACTCATTACTCCTCAGCTTGTGATGGGGATCCTGAAATAAGTTGAGGAACCTTCTCCAATCAAAGAGCATTGGAGTCTTTGAAAGTTTCGGCCGCGAATTAAACACCTCAAACCCCAACACCCTAAATCCCTGAAACGCTAAAGGCCCAAACCCTGAACCCTACACCCTAAGCTCTAAGCCCTTAAAGCCTTTGAGCAGTCGAGGCATGCCGCGGGAACTAGCCGACGCCGGTCGAGGCCAAGTAAGTATTGGGGTTCAGGGTGTTTTTGCCCTCATCCTTCAACCTCAGCCAAGGGATGTAGGGTAGGGTTTAGGATTTAGGGTTTAGGGTTTAGGGTTTAGCGTTTAGTGTTTAAGGTTTAGGTTTCAGGGTTTAGGGATTAAGGTTTATTCAGGGTTCAGGCTTTATGTAGCCTTCAGGCTTTAGGCTCAGTGTTTAGGGTTTTCTCTCAGGGGGTTCGGGCTGCTATTAGGGCTGGGGGGGGGGGAGGACCAGTTGGGATTTAGGTTTGGCCGTGGTGGGCTCCCTAAACCCTAAACCCTAAACCCTAAACCCTAAACCCTCAACCCTAAACCCTAAAACCTAAAACCTAAAACCTAAACCCTAAACCCTAAACCCTAAACCCTAAACCCTAAACCCTAAACCCTAAACCCTAAACCATGGCTATCATGGTTTGGTCTTCAGGGTTTCGGTTTAGGGCGCGAATAGGTTGTAGCTGCATTTTGGAACTTGACTCAACAGTCAGCTCCAAAACCGAATGCCCAGCTCCCCAAGGATGTGAGCTCCGGAACCCTAAACCCTAAACCCTAAACCCCTAATCCCCTAAACCCCTAAACCCCTAAACCCTAAACCCTAAAACCCAACAGCATAAGCGTACAAGCTCCGGAACCACACAATGCCAGCCCAGGCTGATCCTGAACTCCATCTGGTCCACTGGAAAACCCAGGCTCGTCTGTTCTCGCATGCTTCAGTTGGAGGTTCCCCGAAACCCTAAACCCTAAACCTTCAACCCTCAACCCGAAGCCCCTAACCCCGAACCCCTAACCCCTAAACCCTAAACCCTAAACCCTAAACCACCAGACTCCCAAGCTCCCCGAAGCCCGAATCATTGTGTCTTCTTCAGAGGAAGTAAACCCTCAACCCTAAACCCTAAACCCTAAACCCTAAACCCTAAACCCTAAACCCTAAACCCTAAACCCTAAACCCTAAACCCTAAACCCTAAACCCTAAACCCTAAACCTAAACCCTAAACCCTAAACCCTAAGCCCTAAACCCTAAACCCTAAACCCCAAACCCCAAACCCTAACAACCCCTAATAACCCCTGTGTCTGATTCGGAGGAGGGAGCTTCTGAGACCGGAGACGCGGATCGCCCACGCCAAGGCGCCGGCCAGGCGCGGGACGGGTTTGAGGGGTTTAGGGGGGGGGGTTTAGGGGTTAGGGGTTTAGGGGTTTAGGGGTTTAGGGGTTTAGGGGTTTAGGGGTTTAGGGGTTTAGGGGTTTAGGGGCTTAGGGGCTTAGGGGGTTAGGGGTTTAGAGGTTTAGAGGTTTGGGGTTTAGGGGGTTTTGGGGTTTGAGGTTTCAGGTTTAGGGGTTTTTGGGAGTTCAGGGTTGAGGGGTCGAGGGGTTCAGGGGTCTAGGGGTTTGGGGGTTTGGGGGATTAGGGGTTTTAGGCTTTTCAGATTTTTTCGGGTGTGGGGGTGAGGGCGGGTTAGGGTGTTGGGGTTGGTTGGGGTTCAAGCGTTGGGGGACCGAAGTGGAGAGCATGAATTGCGGTCCAACGGTAGGGTTTCGGGTTTCGGGTTTCGGGTTTAGGGTTTAGGGTTGAGGGTTGAGGGTTTAGGGTTTAGGGTTGTTGAGGGTTTAGGGTTTAGGGTTGCCAGGGCGGATGGCATCCGGCTCTGCTCTGGCATCTCTGAGCTCGTGGAGAGCGGGGAGCCCCAGCAGCTTGATGGGCTGATCGTTCGGAAAACTTCGGGGAATTCGGAGCCTCGGGTTCTTATGGTTTCAGGGTTCAGGGTTTAGGGTTTAGGGTTTCAGGGTTAGGGTTTAGGGTTTCGGGTTTAGGGTTTAGGGTTTGGGGCTTCCTTTAGGCTGCAGATAGAGGCTCTGAACCCTCATTTCTGCCTAAGCTTCGAGGGTTCTTTGGGGAGCTGAGGGCGCATAGCCCTGGGTTCCCACTTGAAGGCTTAGGGCGCTCAGGCCGCTCAGGGTTTAGCGTTTAGGAACTGTAGGAAGTAGGATCAGCGCCATTCCTAGGATCTGCCAACTCAGGGTCAAGCCCAATCTGTTTACGAAGTTCTGTGAGCCTTCAAGTAAAGGCCCTAAGCCCAGTGGTTTTCTTTTGGGATACGGAGTGTGTTGCTTTGAAGGCGAATCACGCAACGGACAAGCAAAGTAGTTGGCGCTTTCTTGGCTGGTAGCCCTAAATCCTACCGTCAACCGTCAACCCGAATCCCTAAACCCTAAACCCTAAACCCTAAACCCCAAACCCCAAACCCTAAACCCCAAACCCTCGAAAAGGCTATGATGCCTTCACCTTGGACCAGTATGGCGTCCTTCATGATGGGCGCCGGGGCGCCAGACTTGCACACATTGCGGCTTGAAAGCTAACGCGCAAACAGACCCGAACCCTAAACCCTGAACCCTGAACCCTGAACCCTCTAAGCCTTAAGCTTCCTAAGCCCCTAAGCTTCCTAAGCCCCTAAGCTTCCAAAGCCCCTGGTTTCCGAAGCCCCCAGAAGCTCCAAAGCCTAAGCCGTGCCCATGTTCGGCACACCTTTCTTGAAGACAAGCCAAGGCCACTGGAGTCCATGTGGTGCAGATTACATTGGGGCTTATATAATCCGCTCCCCTAATATTCACCATTCACCCCCCCCCCCCAGTGTTTGGTAAAAAAAACCCCATACACTCTAGAACAATAGTGGGAGTATTCAGTATCAGGGGGGTGTTGTTTTTTTGGGGGAATGGTCTAGAGTTTAGGTCCGGTCTTTTCAAGTCGTGCGTATAGATCGGCCACCTACGTAGCACCATGGAGGTAGATGGTTTGGCCTAACAACGCCTTGCTAATTAGGAATTTGCCGCGTGCCTCACATGGCTTCGGGAGAGAGAAGGCAGCTAAAGTGGTCCCGGTCGGCCGCTGCTTCGTCTGCTGCCCAGTACGTGGAGGCCTGTGTGCGCTGTGGCAGCAAAGCCAGCTGGGCAACAGCAGCTGGCATTGCGCGGCACGGGGTATTCCTGCTGGACTTACAGTCTTGCGCGCCTGCAGCTCTTGCAGCTGCCTGCACCTTCTTGCGGGAGGCTCCCAGAGGAATCTCTGAAGTGCAGCTGCAGGCTTCGGAGCGAGCGCGGCTCAAGGTCGCTGCGGTGAGCATTGCCTCAAGGTGCCAAAACAAGGACACCACCTGTCCCAACTTGCCCCGCATGAGGCTGCTGGCAGGTGCTCTTGCAGTGTTCCTTGCTGCGCGCGGGTCAAGGCTCAGAGTGCTGGACCTGACAAGCCTGCCCATAGGCAGGGAGCCCGTTTCGTGCGTGAGCCCTCTGTCCGCGGCTCTGAAGCACTCGATAAGTTTGCAGTGGCTGAACCTCACAGGATGCCACCTGAGCAATCGATGCTTCGCGCTGCTCCTGCCGGCGCTCACGGAGCTCCCCCGGCTCCAGGCACTGCTCCTGGCGTGGAACCGGCTCTCGGACCTCGACTTGCTGGACAGCTTCTTGCAACACCGCTCGGAGCTCTGCGCGTCGCACCTGGCGGCTCCCTTTCAGCTGCTGGACTTGTCGGGCAATCCTGGCCTAGTGGGGAGCGCGCCCAGGCGCGAGAGGCGCGAAGCTGTAGCTGCACGGAGCGCGCGGAGCGCGCGGAGCGCCCGGAGCGCCCGGAGCACGCGGAGCACGCGGAGCGGCGCGCCAAGCACGCCAAGCACGCCAGGCATGCCAAGCATGCAAAGTATGCGCAAGGGGCCGAGGCTGGTCTCCTGCATCTCCCGTGCGATCGCTGCGGGCCTGCCGCTCACCATCCTTCGCTTGCAGCACCTTCGGCTCCAAGACCAGGACCTGGTGCCGCTGCTCCGGCTCCTCCGTGCCCAAGCCAAAGCCTGCCAGGAGGCCGAGCCACACGTGGGGCTCCATGCATTCCGCGCCCCTGTGAATCTGGAAGAGGCCGACCTCGAGTCGAACGAGCTGAGTTCGGGCATGGCCCGATGCATCTCGGAGGTGATCCTGCTGCTCCGCAGCTTGTGCCATGCCCCCCTCCTGCCCGCGGCTGCGTATGCGCAGGCGGCCCGAGGAAGCCCTGCGCGCAAGGCAACTCTGAGCAAGTCGCTGGGCGTTTGGAAGCCACAAACACCTCAAGCCCCCGAACTTAAGTAAAGAACCACTCAACCCTAAAATGAAACCCCTAAACCCTAAAACCCTAATCCTAAAACCCTAAACCCTAAACCCTAAACCCTAAACCCTAAAACCCTAAACCCGAAACCCCAAGGTCTGCGTCAGAGCCGGAGCTTCTTGCGGAGCAGCGCCTGGACTTGGAGGACGCGGCGAAGTGGTCGCTGAGCGACGAGGAGGTCGACTACGCGCCAGGGAAGCAGCAGGAGCTGGGGTTCAGGGTTTAGGGTTCAGGGTTTGGGGTTTAGGGCTTAAGGTTTAGGGTTTAGGGCTTAGGGTTTAGGGTTTAGGGCTCAAGGTTTAGGGTTTAGGGCTTAAGGTTTAGGGTTTAGGGATGTTGCCGGAACCCCCTAGGCCGACCCTCAACCTTTCAAGCCCGAAATGCCCGAAGCCCCAAGTGAGGCTGGCGGCGGGCTGCATAGCTTGGAGCGAAAGCAGGAACAGCGGAAGCTGAAATTGGCCGCCGAGGACTGAAAGGGAGCTGGGGTCAGACTCCACGCAGTGGTTTCGGGTTTAAGGGTCTAGGGCAAAGGGAAACTGAGGGCACTGTTCAAAAAAGGGACTATAAGGCTTTATCGTTTAGGGTTGTGGGTGTATGGCTAAGGGAGCTACTAAGCTGGGCTTGGAAAAGGTCTCAGAGAGTTCTTGGCTTCCTGTGTGGAGCCCTTACCCTAAAGATCCATATACCTTATTATTCTATACTTGAGCCCCAAAGTCCCTATATAGGAAGTACTTCATTCCCTATTTAGGTACATGGACCCTTAGGGTTCGCCCTGAAAGCCCTGAGCCCCAAAGCCCTCAAAGGAGCTGTCCAAGCGCCGGCCGAGGCCTCGGAAAGCCCGGCCGGATGCCACCTGGATCTGATCAGACCTTTCAACCCCAAGCCCTGAAACGTAATCCCGAACCCTAAAACCCTCAACCCTAAACCCCAAAACCCCAACCCTAAACCCTAAACCCTAAACCCTAAACCCTAAACCCTAAAACCCCTATATAACCCTAAACCCTTGGGGGGTAACCAGGCCATGGGCGAGCACCTCCTCCTGCGGCGTGAGCTGCTGCATCTCATCGCGCATGGAGGATGAATTGGGATGTACTTCCCCATATGCTGACAGTCCTTAATAGGGTTTAGGGTTTAGGGTTTAGGGCTTAGGTTTTTGGGTTTAGGGTTTAGGGTTTAGGGCTTAGGGCTTAGGGCTTAGGGTTTAGGGTTTAGGGTTTAGGGCTTAGGGCTTAGGGCTGGGATGTTTCCCCCTTATTCTAGCAGTCCTTAATAGGGATTATAGTACGCCCTATTACAACCCCTACTAAGGACTCTTAGAATTTGAGGGAGAACATCCCAAAGGATGAAGCTCCAGGGCCACCCCAAAGCTCCAAAAAGCTGACTTCCACCGCTGAACCCTAAACCCCCCATACCCCCAAAACGCCAAAAAGCACCCTGAACCACTTCCGCCCGAGTTTTTCACGTTTAAGTTTTGGACAGTTGGAAGTGGGATCTCCACTCCCGAGCCCCAAACCTCAACCATCCCAAGCCCGAAATCTTCAACCGGCTCAACCCCCGTACGCTCTTAAGCCCCAAAAAACCCCAAGCCCCCAAAAACCCTAAGCCCCCAAAAACCTAAGCCCCAAAAAACCCCAAGCCCCCAAAAACCCTAAGCCCCAAAAAACCCCAAGCCCCAAAAAACCCTCAACCCTCAACCCTCAACCCTATAAACCCTATAAACCCTATAAACCCTATAAACCCTATAAACCCTATAAACCCTATAAACCCTATAAACCCTATAAACCCTATAAACCCTATAAACCCTGTAAACCCTGTAAACCCTATAAACCCTAAACCCTAAACCCTAAACCCTAAACCCCAAACCCCAAACCCCAAACCCTAAACCCTAAACCCTACACCCTAAACCCCAAACCCTAAACCCCCGAAAACCCCCGAAAACCCCCCTAACAAAAAAACCTCCGGCCAGGAAGCAGTCCGCAGGAGGAAGCCCCGGCCTCCCACGAGGGCTCCGCTTCCTCCCCGACGGCCCCGGACGCGGAGTCGCCGATGGGAGCGGCGCTTCCTCAGCATCCCGAATCTTGGGTTTAGGGTTTAGGGGTTTTGGGTTTTGGGGTTTAGGGGTTTTGGGTTTTAGGGTTTTAGGGTTTTAGGGTTTTAGGGTTTTAGGGTTTTAGGGTTTTAGGGTTTTAGGGTTTAGGGGTTTAGGGGTTTAGGGGTTTTGGGTTTTAGGGTTTAGGGTTTTAGGGTTTTGGGGTTTTGGGGTTTTGGGGTTTTAGGGTTTTAGGGTTTTAGGGTTTTAGGGTTTTAGGGTTTTAGGGTTTTAGGGTTCAGGGTTTTAGGGTTTAGGGTTTAGGGTTTAGGGGTGTTAAGAGAAAGTTTGCGGCTGACGGCTTAGGAGAAGATTCCTTTTTGAGGGTTTTGGGGTAGAGGTCCTTTCTTGCCTTCAATGGGTGGGCCTCAAATCCAAAGCCCCAATCCACTAAGCCCCGCCCCCTAGACCCAAAAACCCCTAGACCCTAACCCTAAACCCTAAAGTCTAGACCCTTAACCCTTAACCCTAAACCCTAAACCCTAAACCCTAAACCCTAAA